CCTCCCCCCACTCTTAATCCCGCCGGAGAAGCATAAATTTCAGATTGATAAACAGGTAGAACTAGGGGGATTTGCTTTTTAATAGCTGTTACATGAGAGCTTGTCAGTTGCATGCGACGTTTGGTAACATCCCACTAACCCGTAGGCGGATCTAGGCTCCTGGAAGGTGGAGGAAAAGGGTGACAGGCGGTATCGAATAGAGTTTTCTACAGTAAAACAGCTGCTACCTGAGCCCCTGGAGAGAGGGCGAAAGACTTCTCGCCCTCCCTTCTTCCCTCTGGCTTCGCCGATGCAGTAACAACACTAATATGAAACTCCCACACCAACACTCCAGAAAATCCAGTTATTTTTACGGGGGTAGTTGATAGTCATTATGTCCAATGGCCTTTATCTCACTCCTTTCTGAAGTATTTGCCACCAAACATAACCAAATACACGGCGGATTAATAAAAAGGTTTAAAATTATAAAAGGTTCACCTGAATTGCAGCGCCGTCTAAATTTGACAAGATCACATCCAGTCGATCAGTGAACTGACTGCTCTGCTCAATAGCTGTTTCAAGAGCATCGGCTCGCTGCTGTACAGCATCGCGAGCAGCAGCAAATCGCTCATCCAAGCCTTCTGCCACTTTCTGCAGCTGCATTTCATCTTCTGCACTACACAGCTCACTTAGAGCGCTAACGTTTTTGTGAAAACGATCCATCAACGGTTTATGCGAAATTATCGAATGCAACAGTTCCTGAAAAATATAAAAACTGCGAACAAATAATTTCCAATGAATTTGATAAACTTACAAGCTGTCGGCTGAAAGTAGACGGACCTGAAGTAAAAAAAAAATCAGCATTTATTTATATCTAGTGGATCAGGGTTGACGCAAGGGTGCAGTGAAAAACAGTAACAGTACAGCCAATACGGAATAATTTTTTAAAAACAAGATGAAAAAATGAGACTCTGAAGGAGCAATAAATCAGAAGATATGGAGAAGTAAAGAATGTAAAAGAAAATAATAACTATTGTAAAATTAAGAATTTTTACGGAAAAAAAAGGAAAGGAGGGAATCGAGAGAAAGTTAATTTGTATGCCGATAAAAAGCAGCTGCACCAATGAAAATGCAAGCTCCAGACCCAGTAGTAGAATGAAAAAAATTATCAGCCAAAACAGTGATAAGAAAAATACTGTTTTAACTCATGGCTTTTCAGAGTGTGGAATCATACAGTGTTAAATCATAGTTGTAAAAAATTATCACTGTTTTCGTTGCAAGTCAAAACGCCCCAAGTATCTGCTTCCAAAACAGGGAGGTCCAACGAATTAGTCTGCGTGCTAGTGTACATCTTTTGCAAAATTTCTGATCGCACAATATCAAAATAATGGCAGTTCCTTCTCATAAAACAGTTAATTCATAGCAATTGACCACGCTCTGCATACAGACTTGTTTATTTGGCAGATCTAAATGGCACTTCCAGTTTTTCATTAATTGTCAAAATTCGATTGTGTTCCTCTCCATGGCCGGCCAGCAGCGCTACACAAACTGACATAGAAGATTTCAGGCTCCCGTTTTCTTCCAGTCTCTTTGCCACAAATATCCACTGTTTGTATCTTTAAAATTTCTACAACACCTACGGTATTATGTGCCTGTTGCTGGAGAAGTTGGTCTCGTTGATGTCCCGTAGTCACAGCTGGACAGTGCTCTATTTCATTTTCAATAGTTTCCAGCCAGGAATGCAAGTCCTCAAATGACTGATCAATTTCAAGACACAGTGCCAGTGCTTGTTCCAATTCACCCAATCTTTCTTCGCTCAACTGCGCTACATCCATCGATAGTGCTCGTCCATTCTGAAAAAACACTCCATCCGGGTAGCTGCGTACAAAATTAAAACTTTTAAACACAGCCCGTAAATCTGGGCAGTAAATCAGTCTCTCAGAAGATATGTTTCTCGTAAATCACCTCAATTTTGCTTGCCAGTAATGAATTCTGCCCGCTTGCTTCATCGCCTAGTGCTCGAGCAATTTTCTGTGCATCAGCGGATGCATCTCGCAGACGTGCTTTCATCACTGCAATATCCTCGTTCATATGCTTCTGATTTTTGAGCTGTTTCTTCACATAATCCGGATCCACTGATGGTGCCGAAGCCTGAAACGTAATGAATGCACGCATTTCCGCCAAAAAATGAATAAAAAAACTTATAACAGCATCACTGAAAATATTGTAAAGAAATCTAACACGTACATTAAAAGTGTCACATACCGTCGAAAGATGCATCCTGAACCCAAAACTTAGCGAAAATCAGATTTGTTAAAATTACATGTTATAGAAAAAGGGTTGTCCAAAACTGTTTTAGTACCTGCATAAGGCGATCGCGCGCATCGCTGAACCACTCACTGAGATAATCCAATTCATCCAAAACTTGTCGGCTTTGTTTCTCCGCTGAGGTCAATTTATCGCCTTTGCGAGTAATCTGCAAATAACATGCTGCGATTGACAAAGCTGTGAATTGAAAGATGATTTAACAGCCTGTAGTTCTCAGAATCAGAAAAACCGGTCAAATGTGACCTGATTTATACTCATCCTTTTATTTAGATCATTTCCACCGGTGCCATGGACCGTAAAATCGGAAATTTTGAAAATTTCTTTGCTCCCTAAACTCCTAGGATCTGCTTGTACGCTACAATCAGCCTTAACAATTGCGGCAGATAAGCCAACAGCTAAAACAACCTAATTCCTCCTGGTCAGTAAAATGGCAATGTCCGGGATGAGGCTATGGTGTTCAGCACACACCAAGAACAATTCAAAACGATGAAGACTTTGCCAAATGCTTCTGCTGGAAGAACCCTTACACTGATAATGGTCCCACCAACGGAAGAAATGTATGTAAAAACCACTTGCAACTGACCACCAGCACTGACCGATACAGTGAAAAAATATCAGATGCATTTGTGAAGAATCTCAGACAATGACAATTTACAGCTATTACAAGTAAAACAGCCGAAAGCAGTAACAGCGTATGCAAGCAATTTCTTTTCACTTATTCACTGACCATTTTTCTTTCACTTATTTTTTCCGTTATTTTCTTTTCATTGATTTTTTCTTCGCATTTTTTCACTTATTTTTCTTGTCCTTATATTCACTTATTTTGCTTATTCACAGCGCTAATGTTTAATTCCCAGAAAAATAGAAATATTATATGAAAAATCAATAAATGAATAAACATTCAAGTGGCGGATAAAGAACAAGCCTGTTCGGAAATATGATGGAATCTGCGTGTGATCTCATCAGTCTGTATCTCCAGTTCATCAGCTTTAAGACCAACGTTCAGCTGTTGAAGTTGCTTGGAGATGTTGCTGATTTCCTCAACATCAGGGCGCCACTTCGTTATATCCTCTTCCATCTGCACGATAAACGCTGTCTGCGCTTCCAAAGAAGCCTAAATTTGATTATCAGTGTTTTGAGAATTAATAACATTATAATATCCGTGTAGGCTCGGACAATCGATATCGTGATATAAGTGATGTTACTTGGCCGCAATCACTTACCAAGTAAGTACTTTTAAATCTTCAGATCTAAATTTTATGCCCTCACTCAGCAGCGAGAACCTAATGAATCTATGTGTAAGGTTACCCGAGTGGTCACTTACCTTCTTACAAGCAGTCTTTACTTACCGATGATGCCCAACAAGGTAAACAACATATTCTGTCCAACAAAATTTTATTTTCTCGTACGGCCGACCCGTATCCCGTTCACTTGAACGGGAGTATGACTATTTATACGGTTTCGAGGGACATTTTCTTCTACCGTTTTCTCACTATCATAGGCAGCCTTCGACCAATGTTTTCGACGGTAATCACGTTCGTATCCCAGGAATCCCTGCTTTCAAAGTGGCGGTTATTGAGAGCTAAACATCGTTTTTGCGGTCCAATTAACGACAGACATTGACAACGCTGTCATCGACCGGTAGCTTTTGCATTATTCGACTGGAAGAAGTGTAGCACATATTCATTTCCTGACCAAGGCAGAGATTTTCGATACACTACAGTTTTATAAATCTGTTTCCGTGCTTCTACTGTAATGGTCCTCGCAATAAGAACTATGTCATACGCAAAGCATATATTGCTACTCAGCATTCTTACAAGCAAACTGATGGTAAATTGGATTTCATAGCGAGATATGCCATGTTTATCATCAAAACGAATGAACGAATCGTAGAGGAACTGGTTATCTCATTGGCAGATTCTAATCGCTGGCCTACTACATAACAACAGTGCTTGACGTGTAAACTCCTTTTCAAACTATCCAACTCGACCATATCCAGTGACTGTAAAAAGTTTGGACGATACACAGTCCACTCCCTAATGCCCTTCCCAATCAGGGCACCTTGAAAATAATTAGAAAGTACAGAGGTTCACCACACCATCCATGAAAGACCGTAGTTCAGAGGCCAATATCTCCTAAGCCGATAGGAATACTTCTTGAAAACCCAACAGGACGAGTTGTCAGAAAATATTCCTCTATCCATAAAATCCTTATTGTTCACCAGAGGTAGAATGTTCCCAGAGTGATCTGCCGCTTTGCTTAGAGGACTTCTTCGTGCATTGTGCTCTACTTCATCATCGCCTGCTGTCTTATGGTGTGACACAAGCGCAGCTCACTGTCACACCATCATAAGACAGCAGGCGATGATGAAGTAGAGCATAATGCACTGAGACCGACTCTAAGCAGGGCGGCAGATCACTTCTGGACAATCTACTTCTGGTGAACAGTAAGGATTTTATGTTTGGAGAGTAAACATGTCCACAAAGGAGGTTTTCTACCGCACAAAAGTCTACTAATTTTCAAAAATTTTCAACTGTTGCAAGCAAAAATTTCAAAATGTTCCTGTTTTTTTTTTTTTATGACACCCAGTAATGACCATTACTCTTTTAACGTCACTCAATCCGGAAACAGTGAAGGTGCGATGCAAATCGCACAACGTCACGCTGATGAAGTTTGTAATAAAATAAAATTTTTACAGCTGAAAAAAAGTCTTCCTAAAACATCTGGAATTCGTTACGTTCTAGGATCATTACAATGAACTGTATTTTTACTATTGCCTCCCCATTCTATAAACTTTCCTTCAGCAAAACTACAAATTAGAGCATTATTCCTGCTGCAGCACAGTGTTTTTCACCACCCC